GGCATAATAATTAGAAGCTGTGAGGCCTTAGAAACATGCATTGAGTGTTTTGAATGTTTATTAAAAATAAAAGACTGAAATATCCCATTTACAGAAGTATTCAGACTCTTCACTTAGTTAAAGCACCTCTGACAGCAGCAACAGCCTCAAGTCTTTTTGGGGATGAAGCTACAAGCTTGGCACCTTTCTTTGGAATTTTCTTTTATTCTTCTTCACAGAATCGTTCCATGTCAACCAGGCTGGATGAGCAGTGTTGGTGCACAGCCATTTTCAGGTCTCTCCAGAGATGTTCAGGTCCAGACTCTGGCTGGGCTGCTCCACAGCAGTTTTCCTGAAGCCACTTCTGTGCGTTCTTGGCAGTTTGCTTTGTGTGATTGTCTAGTTGAAATGTAAACTTTCGCCGCAGCCTGAGGTCCTGAGCACTCTGGAGAAGGTTTTCACTCAGAACTGCTCTAGATTTTTTGACATCCCTCCTTCCCTCTATCCTGACTAGTCTCCCAGTTACCCAGAAAAACCTCCCCATAACATGATGCTGCACCACTGTGTTTGACTGTAGGGATGGTATTAATGAGGAGATGCTCAGTGCCTGGTTTTCTTCACACTTGTTTTACTAACAAGGGATAGGCAGCTGTCAGTAGCCTTGGGCTTTGACTACCTCGGTGCTCCGTGCTCAGCAGAACAGCTGCACACTTTGGCCACAAGGGGGCTCGCATAGCCATAGTCAAGAAGCCTTTCCAGATCTCACAATAATATTTTAAAATATTCCTGTATCCAAATTATGGTACTAATAAGCAACAAAATCTAATCAATTGTTCCATGAGCCATGCCCTACCTCCCCCACAAAAAGTAATAAAAACCTGTTTGTTATGTTTTGAGTTATGCTGTTAACAACAAACAGACAAAACAACAAACCAACAAACACCAGCAAAAACATAATCCCCAACCTTGGTGGAGCTAACAGATACAAAGTAGTAGTATTTATGTTTGTCAGTGTGATTCCTGAACAGGACGGAAAGCAAGTGTCCTCCAAACTTCTAAAAAGACCTAATCCAGACAGACAGACAGACACAGGAGACAGAGTGAAGACATCGGGTCACATCATCTTCCTGCTCACATTCATTTATTGTCAGCACACAGCAGATAATGATTCACATCAGGATTTCAAACCTCCACCAAAGATTGCTCTGCTTTAGCTGTGGCCACTCAGCGTGACCTCTTATTCATCAGCTCAGCTTTCCTTCCTTGTTCGGGCTAAGCCTTCTCTGTGTGGCCTCCAGACTATTTCCTCCGCTCAGCTCGCCCCATCGTGACTCTGGCTGATGCTGTGATTCTCTCAGTTGAATCCAGTATTCCCTCTCTGCTCCAGCCCTCTTGCCACTCCTGGCAATTCATCCATCCCAGCTCTACTGTCCTCACACACTGGTCAGACATTGCCAACCTGCCAGTCTCAGTTCTGATACTCAACCTACTCCCAGTGTTTTTGCTACATCTCAGCCATCCTCTTCATGCTAATAAAGTTTTGTTTTCTGTTGTCCAGAATTAGAGTTCAACCTTTTGAGTCCCTCAGTTTAGTATGTGGTTTATAGGATTGATTGGTCCTAACACATATATGATTGCTCGACCATGAAAACCTACTTCTGGCCCAATCATGACACAGATTGGCACCTAAATCTAAGCAATTGCTCTGTGTCCTATACCCTACTTCTCCAAAACATTTCAGCAAAATCAGTTTATTACTTTTTGAGTTATGCTGTTAACAATCAAACATACCAACGAATACTGGCAAAAACAGAACCTGCACCTTTGGAAGAGGTAATAATACATTTTATACTGTAACATGTAAATTTAAGGTCTTTTGAAAGTTAGGAATTTGGGTACAGTTTTGATTTAAAGTATGTTTAGTAAATTAGCAGAAGTTTAAATGTGATTATATAAACTAATATTCCACTTTAACTTGTACATTTAAGTTAGAAGATATGATACATGATTATGGAGGATAAAAGAAATTAGGGATGTTTTTCTTTTTTCTTACTTCCTTTCTTTACTTACACTGCTCACACCACAATAATTCATGCTCAGACATGTTTACACATACTGTATAATGAG